CCATACCCCTTGATACTCAGTGCCTAACACATAATAGGCACTCAAGTAGTGAATCACTAGATAAATAGTAGATGGACATGTGTGTGAACTAGTAGAGAAAGAAAATGCTGATAAAGTACATATTTGCTGGAAATTGGTTCATTAGTTCAGCACCTGTGAACAGTGCTGAAGACACTTAAACTCACCTTGGCTAGACATTATTGTGTTGACCATTATGCTGAGGAAGAGGCCTTTGGAGTTCTAAGGTTGGGTCCAAGAAGAGCATATTACAAACCTGAAATTGGCATAGTGAATACATATTGTCTAAGGCTCTAAATGAAGGAAGATCCCTGTAATTTAGGCTGTTGTTCTCAATGGGATAATATGGCCCCCAATATGGGAGAGAGACAAAAAAAATCTTAGATCTAAGCTTATAGTGTTAAATCTGTTTTCAATGCTCCAAATCTTCACACACCCACACACAAAATCCACACACAGATAAACTCAACTATTCCTCAGTATTTAATTTCATGAGACGGCATGAGGGGATTCGGAAAAAATACGTCTAGAAAGGCTGGAAATCTCTCAATCTCAACTCATCTGGAAACTGACCAACTAGGCTAAAGTCACAGTGAACATTATCTCAAAGGTTTAGGAGAGTTGGTCTTTTTCTAAAAATATATTTTATTGATTTCAGAGAGGAAGGGAGGAGAGCTAGAAACATCAATGATGAGAATCATTAATTGGCTGCCTCCTGTACACCCTCCACTGGGGATCAAGCCCACAACCCAGGCATGTACCCTTGACCAGAATCAAACCAGGGATCCTTCAGTCCACAGGCCTACTCTCTATCCACTGAGCCACACTAGCCAGGGCTAGGAGAGTTTTGTTCTGATTTCTTTTAAGAGTCTAAGTTTTGCCCTGGCCAATGTAGGTCAGTGAGTAGAGCATTAGCCCGTCCACCAAAGGGTATTGGGTTCGATTCCTAGTCAAGGATACATACCTGGTTCAATCCTGCCCAAGGGTGGGTGCCGGAGGCAACCAATCGATGTGTATATTTTACATGGATGTTTCTCTCTCTTTAAAAATCAATGGAAAAAAAATCCTCTGGAGAAGATGAACAACAACAAAAAAGTGTTTCATTCCTAGTTGGCAGAACATGCTGTCCCTAGGCTTTTGGTTCAAGCCACGTAATTTATCTTAGTTAACTGAGTAATAAATTGAATTCAATTCCAGCTATAACCAGTTCTTCCAAGTACTATCTGAAGTTAATTTAAAATAGTTCCTTCTAAGGAATATTAGATAGGATATCAGGTGTTTTTTTTTAATTCCCTAGTTGTTTGAAATTTTTTTCCTTGAAATTTCAGCTTCTTTGTTTTGCTCTAAGTACACCATTTGTATCTTTTTCTTAAAGTGTGTTGAACTGGAGAGAAATATTACTGACATTCATTGCAATTAAAGAAAGTTATTTCAATGAAGACTTCAGAAAATATCTTATAATCCTAATGGTTGCATTATCATTCTCCTTTATTACATTATTCTTATTTCATGAATTTAAGATATATTTAATTTGTAACATTCCATAGAATAGTGTTCCCTTCTTTGGATCAAGAGCTACACCATAGTTTTTAAAAGTTCTTAAAGTGATGTTTTTTAAGAAAAAAATCACAAAGGTGTTAAAAGTGCTACATTTCAAAAGCATATTACTCAGAATTCTCTAGTTTGATTGAATTATTGACTATAATTTATATACTGATAAAAATATACAATGAACCTGTATTTTTTTAAAATATATTTTATTGATATTTTACAGAGAGGAAGGGAGAGAGAGATTTAGAAACATCGATGAGAGAGAAACATCAATCAGCTGCCTCCTGCCCACTCCCTACTGGAGATGTGCCCACAACCAAGGTACATGCCCTTGACCGGAATCGAACCCAGGACCCTTCAGTCCGCAGGCCAACGCTCTATCCACTGAGCCAAACCGGTTACGGCTGAACCTGTATTTTTTTTCTAACATCAGCTAGTGGTCTTGTGCATGGATTTGTGCACATTGAAAGGAAATTAATTAGAAGAAATATTTTAATATCGCTATTTGTCCTTTACCTATAATAGAAGTGTCAACCAAATTCACGATCGACAATGACAGATCGAAACACATCCATGTGATTGGCACCAGCGAGAGCTTTATATGTATCGCACATGCAGGTGTCAACTTAGCCTTTTATAGATATAAACTTGCTTAATTAGACCTGCTTTCTCATTTAGCTAAACTTTTTCCAGCCCAGTGAAGCACCCCAACTTCTCTTTCAGGTAATTGTCAGCAACAGAGCAGTAAATATCAACATGAAGCAGATTATTATTGTAGATCATGCAGGGAGAAAAAGGGGTAAAATATTTAGCTGTAGCAGTGTTTGACTATATTGTGTGCAGTGCGAAAACCTGAAGTCATTTACAAGTTCCACCATTTCTTACTTCTTTTCAGTCGGGTCAAGTTTCTAAACTTTCTAAATCTCCGTTTTCCGGCTAATGAAAAGAAAATAGGATTTCACCAAGTCTCCTATCTACCTAATCCAGCACTTCTGTGAGGATCAAATGAGATGAGGCACATGAAAACGTTTCACAAACATTTGGTTAAAGTATAAAATGTTTGCACCTGGCTATAAAGCATGTCGTGTTCCTGGGCTGAAGAAACTGCAAGGAGGCTAGTTGCTAGGGAGAAGAAGCCAGGCATTGCTATGTGACGTCATTACCCGGTGCTCACAGCCACCGGGTAATGGGCTGGGCTGTGGGCCGCATTTTGCACCAGGGGGACTTAGCAGCGTTGGCTGTGATTTGGTGGGGTGTCCTCCAGGGTGGTGGCGTGGCCTGTGTCCCACTTGGCAGAAGCCCATTGTTGCTTTGTTGGCACCAGGTCCCTGGTGCCTTTTATTTTTAAATGGCTAGTGGGCGTCATGGCAGCTCCTGCGTTGAGCATCTGCCTCCTGGTAGTCCGTGTGAGTCACAGCTACTGGTCAGAAGGACACTTAGATATTTATGGCACATCATTTCTGTTTAGGTAAACCACAGCTATAGTTTGTTAATCAATCATAGTTGTTTTTCAGTTGTGACTAGTTTTCTTTTCCTTTAATAAAAACTTATAATTTCTAAATCTACCAATAAAAGTTTTAATGTGAAAAAAATTATTTGTAAAATTTCACAGCAGAATTGTCAGGTAAATTGTAGAAAACATAAGAATAAATTAGAACAGTTGATCAACAAAAATTTCATACATTTCAAAAGAGTAGAACCAATAAAAAAATCAGCAGTGCTGCTCAAATATATTCTTTCCACCTAATTAAAAGTGAAAGAATAATTCCAATTTATTGTCTCTAAAGTATCATTTTAGGCCAACCATAAAAATATTTAAGGAATATCTAATTGGGGTGTTTGTTTGTTTGTTTCAAGGCTCTGCAAAAAATGCTTTTTTCAGATAATGTTCCTTAGAAATCTGAAAGCCAGAAAAAAATAATGCAGTTTATATCAGTGTGTAATAATTGAAGCTAAGTTACAAAATCTAAACTTAATTGTTTAATTAAATTAGGACTAGAAAACGTTCCTTTAAGTCTCTATTAACACAAACACAAAATCATTTTCATTTGCAGGCCAATGCATGGTCATTAAAGTTAAACTAATTTGCATAAGTACAGTTTCCTGTATATACGAGGTTAAAACTTGCCTTTAATATCAGAAAGTTGGAGCACATTACCCCATATATAAAGCTGAAAGGGTCTTTGAATCATAACACTGGGAGGACATAAATCATATATGTCTCTCTGTACAGGTAATGAAATAGAGGCATACCTGTGAGGTATCATGGGTTTGTTTCCAGCTCACCACAATAAAGCAAATATTGCAATAAAGCAAGTCATGAGATTTTTGGTTTCCCAGTGCACATAAAAGTTATGTTTACACTATATTAAGTGTGCAATAGTATCATATCTTAAAAAAAAAAAAACAATGTACCTACCTTAACTAAAAAATACTTTATTGCTAAAAAATGCTGACCATTATCTGAGTCTTCATCAAGTTGAAATACTTTTGCTGGTGGAGGGTCTAGTAAAAACATTGCAATCTAACTGCAATGAGCAATAAAGCAAAGCGCAATAAATCGAGTTTGGCGCTTTAAAAGGACTCGCTACGGTGGCAAAATCTACCACCTGAATAAAATCCAGAGTCTTTTCAATTAAGTTCGCTCCTTCAGCTAGTTTCAGGGTAGTTACATTTTATCAGAGGCTGTGAAACGTCTAAATTTGTTAGAATCTAACCATGAAAAAGAAAATGGAAGTGAACCGATTATGTAGCAAATTGGTTTATATACACATAGATTTCTGAGTTAACTGAGTAATAAATGGAGTTCAATTCCAGCTGCAGCCAGTTCTTATATGTACTGAACTCAGCTTGTCATAGTTCCTTCTAAGCTGCATTCAGTATATACATCCTAATTCCCTAGCTTGACTTTTTCCCCCGGGAAATTTTTTGCTTTACTTCAAGTACAGCACTTGTGGTTTTTTCTTCTATTTTGTTGAACTGGAGAGACTCCTGGGATTCCATTTTAATTAAAAGAAGTTATTTCCAATCAACACTTCAAAAAATAAGTTATCTTCTTATTTCATGGATTCTCTCCCAATCAAGTCCGCTCAGTGAGGAATCCAGGCGGAACCCCACCTGCCGGCCAGCATAGGGGACAGGCAGAGGTCAGCTGGCACTTGCCGCTTCCGTGCAGCAAAAGGAGGCAGCGCCAAGACACCGCGGGCGGCCCGGGGCGTGGAGGCCGGGACGCACCTGCCGACAGCGGATCACCCAGAAAGGCAACCCGGCGCGGCTCTCGGCAGTGACGAGAGGGAAACTCCCGACTCCCACTCGTCCCCACCCCCCCCTCCAGCACCGGCCGCCGGAGCCGCACTCCGGAAATGAAACCAGAGGAAGCGCCACGTCGAAGGCGTGGGTGACGTCAGCGCGCTACGTCAGGTGCCGTCCTTCCGGCGATGGGCGGTCCTGGGGCCGGGCGCGGAGGCGGAGCGGAGGCGGGGCCTGGGTCTGGTGGAGGATTTGGTGGGTAGGTGGGTTCAGACCGAGGGAACTACGGGTCGGCGTTGGGCTCACTGGGCTCGAAACAAAGGACTCTGCGGACGGGACTCGGCGCGGCGCCTTCGGACCGGCAGCCGAGCGGCCGATCGACGCTCCCGGGCCACCCCGTGCCCTGTCGGCGCCGTCCCGGCCGCTTCCCCCGAGCACTCCCCGCCCGCGCCGCGGAGGGGCCCCGCGCAGCTGCACCTGCTGCTGAGGGACCCCGCGGCCGGCCCAGGTGCCCATGATGGGGCTGCTCTTCGCCAAACTGTGGAGCCTCTATCTGTAACCAAGGTGAGCGGATGCAGCTGCGCCACGGCGCGGGCCCGCGGCGGAGGGACCGCAGGCCGGGCTGTCGGCGGACAGACGTTCTGGGACGCGGAGAAGTGACTTCGGGAGCGGGTAGACACTCGGTCTTCCGGCTGGGAGAAGGGGCGGGAGAGACCTGGTGTGTGTGTGTGGGGGGGGGGGGGAGGCCTGGGGAGTCCGAAAGGGAGGCGTTTGGTGTCCCAGAATCCAAACTAGGGATTTTTGGGTATTAGTGAAGCTCAGCGGGAAACACCTATTGGCACCTGGAGGCATGTGGGGCGGATGCCTTTTATGTTTCTCATTAAACATCCCAAGTCTTGCCCCAGGATAAATGTCTGCCCTGAAACTGATGGACTTTTTTTTTTTTTTAAACTAGTGCTGCTTTGTTTTCGACCTGCTCGTTAAGCCAGTGCGCCTTCCGTTCTCTCTGATGCCGCCTACCCTCCAGGACTCGGGCACGAGTCGTCCTTTCCAGATCCGCGGCTTTCTGGAAACCTTCCGCCTAAACCCTTTATTCCTCTCCTAGACCTTAGGAAAGCAAAGGCTTTGGCGCTAGGGAGGGTTTTGCGAGTCTGTATTACTCTAGCACTGGTGATGAGACACCTAGAAGTTGCAAGTCCAAAGGGCCAACAAGTTGTAAAACCTGTTCTGAGTCAGAGAATGAAATGGGATGTCTTCTGAAAAGGGAAAATACCCAAACAAAAAAATAAGAGAGGCGACAATCGGTAAAGTTTTTAGGTATTCTTTTAAATATTTTTCTTAGTAATTGAAACTGGTTTTTCAATACAACTAGTTTCATTTCGAATTTAATACCTGGACATAATAAAAAAAACTGTTTCAGGATGTTACCAGTATGTTACTGTTAATGTGGTATCTTTTATCTGGATTTAAGAAGGGAAGACAGTGAAGTGGTTTTAGTTCACTTGTTCCACAGATTGATAAGAACACTAAAATAATCCTTTTCAAGGTTATAAATATATATGCATATACATATGTAGGCATATTCAATTACCACACCTTTTGTTGTTGTTGTTGTTCATCTTCACCCAAGGATATTTTTCCATTGATTTTTAGAGAGAATAGAAGAGAGAGGGAAAGACAGAGAAAATTCGATGTGTTACATCGATTGGTTGCCTCCAGGACCCAGGCTGTGGAGGTGCCTGCAACCCAGGTACATGCCCTTGACCTGAAATCGAATCCGGGACCCTTTGGTCTGAAGGCCGAGGCTCTATCCACTGAGCCAAACCAGCTGAGGCCAATAATTACCACAATTTTCAAGTGATTTTAAAGTGGCCAGAGTTTAGCACCTTACGAATATTATCCATACATAAATTTAATGTATTATTTTTTCAGCAGTTTATATTTTCTAATCCTTGTTACATAAATTCGCTACTATATAAAGCAGCATTTTAAGACATGCTGAAAAGTATAAAGATCCATATAATAATCACCTGCTTATTTTTCCTGTAGTTTAAGAAATAAAACATTACCTAAGTCGTTGTTTCTCCTTGGTAATCTGTCCCATTCCTCTTTCTCCCCTTCTATTTTATTGCTGCTCTTTATCAGGTTTTTGTTGTTGTTGTTTTGTTTCAGTCTTCCTTAATCAGATTAAAAGGGACTGGAGAAGATAAAGGGAAAATTTGAGAGATGATGAAAAGTATGTATAGGCTGCTTTTATAGTCACATAACTGTTCAGGTCTCCTAAATCCTCATTACTACTTAGACTTTAACTTTCCTGCTGTATATTTAGTACTAGTTGTTTTTCTGTCATTTTATTACTCATTCATTCATGGGCATAGGGCATAAATCAGTCTTTAGAGTTAAACTTAGGAGATACAAAGATTTAAAGACCAACAGGAAAGACACAGTTACTTGCTCTCATAATGCTCAAACATCAGTACATATCAGAAAGAAGTGGAGAAAAAATAAAATGTGATAAATTATTAACTGATATGTATAAAAGTGTGGTGATGGTGCCAAAAGAAAATGATTAATTTTCTAATGTGGTTCCTGGAAGACTACAGGAAAAGGTATTGTTGGACTTTAATAATAAGTAGAAGTTTATAGCTAAGGCATGTTAGGCAGACTGAGTAGAAGGGGCATGTTATTTTAGGCAGAAGGACTAATAATATGCAATGGGAGAGGAATTAAATAGTTTGGTACATGGAAGGAAGCTGAAAATAGTTTAGTTTGGCTGTATTTTAGTTTGCCTGTGTGGGAGTTAGAGGAGATGAGGTTGGAAAGGTAGCCAGGAGAACCAGGTCACAGAGGGCCTTGTATGTTGACTAAGACTTTATACAGAGCAAGCCATGGGGGCAGTTGAAGAGTTTAGTCATGGTATGTTATTTTGAAGCAAGGGATTGCTACTTTAGTAGTCTTGTATTTTTATTTTCTTTTTTCACTTTATAAAGATGCAACCATTCTTTTCTTAAGTCTTTATTGTTGAGAGTATTACAGATGTCCCCCCATTGCCCCTCTCCACCTGATTCCTGCCTGGCCCCAGTCCTTCACCACCCTATTGTCTGTGTCCGTAGGTAATGCATATATGCAATACAAGTTGGTTGGTTGGTCCCTTCCTGCCCCCTCCCCCTTCCCTCTGACATTCATCAGCCTGTTCCATGCCTCTGGTTTTACTTTCTATATTGACAAAATTAACGGCAACCTCAGCATTTTCCATTTTAACCACTATAACACATCTAATCCAGAGATACTCAAATCACTCAATCTTGGTTGTATATTAGAATAATATGCCTCAGACCAATTCAATCAGAATGGGGTGGGGTGGTCTGGGCATCAGTGCCAAGATAATTCAGATGTACAGCCAGAGTTGAGAACTACTTAAACACTCCTTTCCCTTATCTTGTATTATTTGCCTCACTTCCATCTTTTTTTCTTGTAACGTTTTAGAGCACTAAGCATCTTTTCATAAATTTGATACCTTTCTGGGAATAAGCATACTAAAGCATGTGTTGTTTAAGTAAAGCTATTACAAAGTACACAATTTAAGGTACAAGACACACTTATCAATGAGCACTGATAGCCAACTTTTTATGACATTGTTATTGTTTCTGACTACTCAGATCTGGTGTCTTTCATTTCTCTCTTTACCTTATTGTGCTCTTAATTCTGGATTTTTTGCTGGTTTCAAACAAATGACACTTAACCTTACCATCTATCTGCCCCTTGTTTACTGGAACACTCTTTGCCCTTACTTCAAATGGTTCAGATTTCTGACCAAATGTAACTCCTGAGAGAGGCCATCCCTAACCACTCTTCCCATCCCAACACTCATTCTCTATTTTTTGGACTAATGTTTTGTTCTACCTGTAATCATGTTTGTTTACTTGTTTATCTGTTTCTCTCAATAGACATAACTGCTAAAGGAATGAACTTTGAGATATGAAATTGAACAAATCATTTGTCTTCTTATGGTAGAAGAGAAATTAGTACCTTTATGACCTTTTCCTTCATTCCAATGTAGTTTTTTGTTTAATCCACACTGTCTTTTCATTGTTGGAACTGAAGTTTTGTTACTGCTGAGCCACTATATACCATATTGTTTTCATTTTTTCTGCAACTTTTCCCCCCTAGAATACATAATTACATCTCATTGCTTTAGTTTATTTGTACATTTGACTAAGTCGTTTCATGTTATTCAAAAACTCTCCATAGAAGTTTTCCCACATCGCACCTATCAGATGATATATCCTTCCCCACACCCTCAGTATTCCTTTCTGCTCCAAACTGGACTTTTTCCCTTCTGTGCCTGGTACACAGTTGTTCTAGACATGTCTTTGCTATCATTCTAGGAATTCACTTTTTTTGGAACTTGTGTCCTTCTTGCTTTGCCCTTATTTTCATGAAGCACATCCTTCAGAAATTTCCTGCAATGCTATCCAAAGTGATAATTTTTTTGCAATTTCAAATGCCTGAAAATGTATTGGTTTGTCCTCACTTTTTACTTATAATTGGGCTGAATATATAATTCTGAATTGTAAAACATTTCTTTCAAAATCTTGAGGGTATTGATTTGTCATTGTCCTCCAGTTTTCAGTGCTGTTGAGAAGACAAGTATCATTCTTTCTTTATTGATTAAAGTATTACATGTGTCCTTATCCCCC